GAGCTAAAAATGGCCCTTGTGCATTTTTCCTCTTACTCTGTGTTAACATTCTAAAGGGAGCAAGTCTGTTTTGCTGCAGGGGAAGGGCCAGGATGTGTCCTGGGAAAGGCTAGCAGGACACAGTCTTTAAGGTGAGCAAGCTTAGGGAGGGTGGGCAGCTGGTGGTAGAAGGAGTGAGGATTGGGTGGTATAGCTCCTACCCTTGGATCTGAGGGACCTGAGTTAGAACTCCTATGCAGTCAGTATTAGTGGCAGATTCTGAACAAGTTCCTTCACCTCCCAGCCTCAGTTTCCTCATTGGAACACTGGAGAATGTGCTGGTGCCTAACTTACAAGGTCATGAAAATTAAGTGAGATGATCTCTGTAAAAGTATTGACTACAGTTCCTAGAACACAGTCAGTGCTCAATAATCGGTTGCAGTTGCTGCTGCTGTGATGATAATAATGAAGAAGAAGAAGAGGAAGAAGAAGAAGAAGATGATGATGATGATAATTATCTGTGACCCCTAGGATTCCTCATAGGGGGCATCACAAACATGGTTAACTGGCCATTATCCAGACCTAGCCTTTGGCCTGGCAGACTCAGATCCATGATTCATGTTGACTCAGACTGTGTATCTTTTTTCCATGGGCAAATACCACTAAGTCAATGAAGGAAACCTACCAATGACATCTCAGGAGCAGAGATCCTCTTGGAAGAGGCCTCTCTCTCACCTCTGAGACTGATATGTACTCTGGGCAGGTCCCAGAAGCAGGAGCTAAAGGCAGCCTTTGTCCATGAGAGCCTTTTGGTGGATTCTGACTCTGGGTACTGGACTCATGAGGTTTTTTCCTGGAATACTCTGGTACCAAGCAAGGAGTGAAGTTACAGCTTGGGAACTTCAGGTGTCTATCTTTTTAGGAATGTCTGGGGGACCTGAAGATCCTGGCCAGGGACAGAGGTAGCTCTTTTGTTGCTAGGCACAGACAGAGTTTATGCCAAGGTGAACTCATGGGGTCAGCCAAGCTCTCTCAATTTCTGTCAGAGACAGCCCCAGAAGTCACCTGGGCTGAACTAGAGTTGTTGTGTTTTGTTTGGTTTGGTTTGGTTTTTTTTTTTTTTTTTTTGAGTTGGAGTCTCACTCTGTCTCC